TATTGTCTCGATTAAAATAGAAAAAACTTAAGGTGCCTTTTGTTTGACAGTTCAACCAGAATGAATCAGGTACTTACTAAAAAGTGACAATTTACGTTTAAGTTCTCTCTGTTCACACAGACCTGTATGTATACATAAACATGCTTGAATAACAACCAGGTACTCACAAGCACATGATTCTGCCATTGGTAAGCATTTATTAAATACCGTCACTTGCAAGTCCAATTATTCAAAAGGGTTCTTCTCTGTGCTCCACAGAGCCTAGACTAAACATCATCTTAACATCTTGAGCTGGTTGTAATCAACATGCAGCGTTTGACTCTGTGTCGACAGAGAGAAATTAAACATAAATTGGCACTTTTTGGTGAATCTCTGATTCATTCTGGTTGAACTTTAAAATTTTTGTCCCTCTGCTTCTAGTCTTTTAAGAACTGTTGCAATGAGATTTTTCCTTTCAGTGGTTTAATTTTAATTATGATATTTACTTCTGATGAAGCGTCAGAAAAAAGGTGCTTTAAGTTTTTCTATTTGTAACTGAGATGATACTTTTGTATCCGAGTTTGATTAATAAAATGTTCTTCATTTTAAAAATTATATATATATATATATATATATATATATATATAGATAGATAGATAGATAGAATGATAGATAGCAGGCATGGTGGAGTAATGGATAGCGACTTGGATTGAGGATTTGGAAAGCTGAGTTTGAATTCCAGTCAAATCCATTACAATCACTTATGTGCTAATACCCTTTGGAAAGGTGTGAATTCTCTTCTTCTCCCTCCAGCTATGGGTAAAATACCAGAACAGACTGGGTTCTATAGACTTGGATGGCAACTGGTCTGGGAGAAGGACAACTCTGAATTCAAAACCTGTGGAGGGTTGTTTGGGGACCTTGTGGCACATAGTGTACCAGGTCTCTGTATTCAGCCCTTCAAAAAGTGTGGTTGGTTCTACACAAAACCTTCACCACTATAATCAAATCTCATGTGCTGGTGTTGGGCTGTCAGTTCTGAGGAACTGATCTGCTTGACCCTCATATGTCAAATTCAACAAGAGAGTCAAGCCTATATATATATATATATATATATATATATATATATATATATATATATATATATATATATATATGATATGACATGTGACTGAATGGTTAGAATATTCACTTTTCAACTATGAGACCCAGGTTTTGATTTGTCAGAAAGGTGTATTCTTGATGGAAGCAATCCCAATGTACCACACCTTTGGAAAGCACCTAAAAATTAATACCATAGATTAACCCAAGCTTTGTGAGTGAAACTGAGTAGACAATAGTTGTGTTAGCATGAAGTCATAAATCATTTGTAGAATAAAACCACAAGTGGTCTCTGTGGGTGTTGAACAAACACAAATATACCTGTGCAGAGAGGTATACTTGGAAAGGTAGCTGGCATATATATATATATATATATATATATATATATATATATATATATATATATATATATATATATGGATAGTCAGTTTCACATTTCTGTGTGTGAATCTGACAGCCAAATCAGGCATTGCAATTTTCAGACCAAGTCTGAAGATTGTATTTTAACTGGCAGTCACCATACTGTGTTGTCTTATGTCCACTGTCTATAAACACAAGATCTGATAATGAGCACTCTGTCCTTATAAATTTGTATATGTAGTTTAAAATTAGCTATATTATTAGCTCTGTTTATATATGTTCATTAATTCACTCAAACTTCAATATAGTTCAATGCAAATCTTGAAAGTTCACATGAAAAATTTTCACACATTTTATATTTAGTCTTCAAATTACCATTACCATCATTTACTGGCAATCAACCCAAAAAAGGACTTTATATATTTGGCTTAAAATACAGAAACTTCTGGGAAATTTTGAACAACCATTTAGATTTTGTAATCTTTCTGAATAAATAATTATACTATATAATTTTTTTTGTGAGAAGACAAGCAGAATTCTTTTGTCAGTCATCATAGAAACTTTGAAGATTAATTTATTGTCTGGATGGCTGCTGGCTTTGCTTGATTTGAATCCGACAGTTGATAATTATTGTGGTGCTATGGGAAAAATATCAAAAGATGAAAATTCTTTTTTGCATGTCTGCATAAATGACTTAAGTGCCTCAGTTGAATTTTCTGCTTACTCCTATCCATTTACAAGGGATGCTGAGAAACTTGCAAACAGATTTATTTGTGCTTTCGTATTTATATATTCCAGTTATTGTTGATGCATATTTTGTTTGTAGCTTTTGTTATGATAAAAATCTATTGGTTTTTGGAAAAATTTCACCTGTTTATGCAACTTCAGGCACTGTATTTAGAAGTTGGTGCAGCTTTCAGAAAAAAAAAAACATCTATAAATTCAGATATTAGTTTTATATAGAGGAATATCTGAATAACTTTATATATATATTTTCTGACTTTATAAGTCAGAAAATATATACATAAAGTTATTCTTATATCTGTCTCATTTATATTTCTTCTTTACCATATATATATAATATATATATATATATATATATATATATATATATATATATATATATATAGTATTCGAGAATAGTATTAGAATAGAATAGACAGTGATTTTATAACATATTTACGTTATAATTTTTAAATAAATAATTTTTTTATATATATATATATATATATATATATATATATATATATATATATACAGTTGCTAATATTTAGATATTTGATTTATCCACATTAATACCTATATATATATATGTATGTTTGTGTGTGTGTGTGAATTACAAATCATGAGATCCAAATGATTTACTTCATACAGATGATCATTTCATCCATGGGAAAGTAGTTTTTTCCCTGGACTTATCAATGCAAATACATTTACTAAAATGAATAAACCATTTATTCACAGGAAATTTGAAAGTCAAAGGAAAGAAAGAAAGAAAAAAGAAAAAGGAAAGAATAAAAGGAGAGGGAGTAAGAATTGGCCTATAATAGAGAAGGGAGTTATATAGATAAAGAGGGTTAAGAGATCTAAGGTGGTTGTGGTGGAGTTGGGTACAGATAAATGCTGATGGTTGAAAATCGACACTGATATAAATGTAACCTATCAACACCTGTGCAAGGAAGAAGAATGAACAAAAAAAGGCTATGAAACATTTTAGAGAGGAGCTTAAAATTATTATAGAATGGGAGTAAGAATTTAAAATTAATACTTTTTAAAAAATAAAGATGTTAATATTAATCCATTCAATGCTACATCCTTAACTATATCGTAAAAGTTACAGTAAAAATATTTAAATAAATTATTAATATATTAATTTCATTTAAATGTAACCAATCTCATTATATCAATAAAATATTAATAAATTTTCAAATTCTAATTCTATAATGTAAATTATATCATATTTATACTAATTATTTAAAAATACTGTAAAGGATTAAATTTAAATTCAATATATAAAACAATTTAGCATTATAAAAACAATTAAATATAGAAGAAAATTCCACGTATAGAAAACATGTAACTAGGAGAGAAATATTTAGATATAGAAGGAAATTACACATCTCAAAATCAATTTCACATATAGAAAAAAATTTAGGTATAGGGAAGATGTCACAATAGAAAAAATCACATATAAAAATATAAATGAAAGTGAAGAGTGCGAGGTTTGGCTAATAATTTCTTAGTTGAAATTTGTTCGTGTGATGACACTTGAAGTGTGGGGGTTGAAATAAAGTAATAATTTAATATATTTTCTGTTTATACATTATTTTAATATATAAACAGAAAACATATTAAATAACTGTCAACTTAATCCATTGATAATATATATATATATATATATATATATATATATATATATATATATATATAATAAATGATATTATTTTTTAGAGATTTTGCATTTAATTAGCAATTATGCAGTTTTCTATAATAATGCAAGAAAACTTACTGCACAATTTCTTCAGAGTGCCTCATACTTGAGAAGTTGAGAAATGATTATTATAAGGGTGTAGGGTTAGGGTTAGTCAATCTGAAGGTGTTTGTCAGAATCAAATTGCATCAAAATTGATAATTTTATTTTCAACAGTGAGTATTACAATTGTATAATTCACTAATGAAGGAAAGGAAACCATTGGCTCTCTTTTAAGTCAATCTGTATCATCAGAAATGTGTTTTCATGATATAAAGTAGGACATTTTACAAAATCTGTATTTTAAGATATTTGACAATTCAGAGAGGTTGATATAGCAAAGCAGAATATGCTCAAATCATCCCATCAATATATATATGTGTGTAGGTGTGTGTGTGTGTGTGTGTGTGTGTGTATAATGATTAGCTACACAAAACTGAGAGTATCTGTCTGCTGGGTTGACTAAATAATAAATATTTATGTTTCTTCAGCATCCATTGAACCAAAGTGTAGTGTGATGTAATTGATAATGGCGTGGAATAGGAAATTGGAGAATTGAGTTTGAATTCTAGTTGGGTCTGTTACATTTGCTTATGAGCAAATAACCTTGAGAAAAGTATGAATCCATCTCTTTTGCTGCTAGCTATGGGTTAAATAGCAGGACAGACTGGACCCACCAGCCTATGTTGGCAACCAGTCTTTCACAGAAAGAAATGTCAACTTACAGCAGGATATCTTCTGCCTAGTCAGTCATGAATTGAAAGAGACATGATTGCACAGTTGTTTGTCATATGTCACTTGACTTATACTGAGCAAATTTTATTTACAGATTCTTTATAATTTGGCATGATCAATAGTTATGAACAATGCCAGAATGCCCAAACACTTGGTCACAATTACCTAATTCTAACCTTACTATCAACAGCTTCAGAGCAGTTTCATCCTCCTTATTTCAAGTACAAAGTCATAGCATGGTTTTCAGGCACATTCTAATGTCACATGTTGGACTTGTCTCTCCAGGCCAATAACATTAACTTTTCTGAGAAATGACTATGGTGAGATTTGAACTTGTATAGTCAGAATGCAAACATTATAAGCACCCATTATAGATAGATAGATAGATAGATAGATAGATAGATATATATATAGAATTAAAGTGACACAGATACCTAAAGTGACAATTACATTTCTAAATTACATCATCCATAACTATCACAGAATTCTATGATGATAATTATAGTCTACAGCTCTTATTTTATATGACAGAATAATAATCTGTTCAAGTGGTTTACAAAAGTAATAGAATTATGTTTGTTGCCAAACTGATTCTCTATGACTGTGAGATAAATAGAGAATTTTTTCCACTGTGTTAATTTCTTCTATATGCCTTCTCCTTTAAGGACGTTGGTGATCATGGCTCTTCACAACTTCCTGTACTTTGTAACTCTTAAAAGATTTTGTCTTTTTACCATCTGTCCTAAACCCTGTTCTGAAATCCATTTACACAAATTTATTAGGTAGGTTATATGCTGTTTTCCTTTGTCCCCTTTGCCTTCAATGTCCTATGAGTATCAGATTTTCCAAGCCCTCTTTCTTCATTATGTGCCCTAGAAACATCAGTTCTCTGTTTCTGATGTTATGTATTTTTTTTACATACTGATGTTATGTATTTTTGTTTACATTTTCTTTAAAACTTCATCATTGCTCATATGATCAATCCATGGTATTCTTGCATCCTTCTGTAGGACAACATTTCAGTTACTTCAAAACTTTTTTTATCTTTGAGGAGATTATCCAGCATTCCCTGTTTTATAGAATGACTGATGATACATAACAGTTCAGTACTCTTTTCTTTGTTTCTAACAAAATTTTTCTATTTCTTAATACTTTGCTTAGCTTTTGGAAGGCATCTTTTGCTATCCTAATGGATCTTCGGATTTCTGTGTTCCACTTTCTCTCCTCTGTTAAAACACTTCCCAGATATTTACATTGTTTTACTTGCTTGATTTTGGTATCCCCAGTTTGTAATTTACCTGTTGGGCTCTTCCTTTTCCTTCCATCTATTTTTTTGCAATTAATGATTAATCCTTTCTTCTCATTTTCATTTACTTCCTTCTGTAGGAGATCTTATAATTTCTTTTCTTTGCCTGTTATCATCACTGAATCATCTGCATATCTTATGTTATCAAGATTGTAGCCACCATTCTTGATAGAGTTTAAAATTGTCTCCGAGTCCTTTTTGGAGAAAACATATTTTCCACCCTATAGCCTCTCTCTCACAGGCGGCATGTGGCAAGTCTCTCCCTGCTCTATCACTACTTCCATGAAAAGTGCTTGGATGGACCACATTCCTTGTTTCTGCCAGGTCCAACTGTCATGGCTAGGATCCACCATGCTACTTACATAGTAACAAACTACACACATTCACTTCGTATTCCATCGGCAAGAAGTGCCACTCAAATAGCTTCTTCCCACAAACCACTGACCTGTGGAACAAACTCCCAAGAAGATTTTTTAAAGTCTAGAATTAACTGTTATCTTTCCCTCCTATCCATATAAACTACCCCTTAATGTAACACTCTACCTCGAGTGGCCCATGGGTCTTGTACAGAGTGAACATTATTGTAAATAAAAAACAAAAAAAATTCTAATTCTCTTAGAAACACTTTACTGTATAGGTTGAATAAATCTGGTGAGAAGACACATCCTTGTCTTACACCTTGTCTATAAAACATAGATATATGTCCTTCTGCATTTGTATTACTCTTTCTGATATTATTCTGAGCATAAATATGACATTCCTTGTTTCTTTCACAAAATCACATTTCTGGTCTAATTCTGCTTTATTCCACAGAATTTGGATCTTGAGATAAATATGCTGCAAAGAATACAATAACCGAAAGTGTATAACATGTTTTTGATAATTGATTATGTTTAACTACCTGGAAAATCAGCATGAAAATTCTGGCTTTTACCTGAACTTAAATGCTGTCTACCATTATTGCAGAACCACTTCAGCAATAAAAGAGTTTCAACTCAAGTTTCTCACAAGGCAATAGATGGAAACTGGGTTTATTTTCAAGGATATTGACCACTTGTGAATAATTTCCTTTGAGAAAGAGATACAAATAAAAAGAATTGATGAAATAGCATTGTTACTGGTTTAATTTGATGTATATAAATATTAAAAAAGTATGTGTAAGTGACAAGAAATATTTTTCACATACATATCTCACCCAGATTTAACTTAATGCTTTCTAAATGTGACAACTGTAATTGTAAAACTAGTGTTGTAAGTCTGGCTTCGTCTAAATTAATTAATTCCAAAAATATATTTTAGTGTAATTATACTTGGATGATGCATTAAGATTTTGGTAGAAGTTGAATTAAATGATTAAAAGCTAATAAAATATACTCATATTTTAATAACAACAAAATGCATCAGTTTGCTTGCTGTAGACTAGATAAAGTAATTTTGTAAGGTGAGTGCATATAATGTTACGTTGTGGATACAAAATCATTTTTTCCAGATTTAACAGATATGCACAAAGACTATAGAGACTTCTGGAAAATATGATCTGAATAACGTTTAATGATTTCATTTGAAAATATCACTTTGTTTATTTTTTTTGTTTTTTTTATATGAAACAAATCTTGATTAAGTACTTGTAATTACTAGTATCATTGGGGGGGGGGCTTTAGGACATATGTGATCATAGCTCTCCAAGGATTTCTTTTCTTTATTATCTATGAGTTGCAATTATTTCTTGGGAAAAATAGTGGAGTGGTTTTCCATTGCCCCCTCCCTGGATTTTTAATTCAGTGTGGTCCTTCTCTTAGACTGTCTACCACCTGGAGTTAGAAACCCCAGTTTTCCATGCTCTTTGACTCACAATCAAGGAGTGGGAGAAGAAATGAATTCATGTCTTTTGCAAGGGCAATAGTGTGAAATGGATTCAACAGAACTTGAATTCCTGATGCCACTTCAACGATTGATATGCCAAAAAATGTATGATTTTTATAATCAGTTTCACCCCATGCAAGGTAGTAAAATGACTAAGACACAAGGATGCTGAAGAATTAGGAACAGGAACATTAATAATGATCGGGAAGAGAATATAGTTATCAGGAGGAGAGGAGATAGTGAATAACATTGCGAAATATTGCAAAAAAAATTATATTGCAAAATACAAGATTATGACAATGCATGCAGAGTATAAATATTAAGTAATTTCTGTTTTGGGGGACTAATTGTAATGATAAATGTATCATTGTAACTATTCTGTAAATATAAAAACATACAACAATGTCCAATGCCTTTTGCATTGGATAGACAAGGATAAATCTCTACAACCATTTTTATGTTGTTAAGATTGTGGTCATCAATAATGAATTCTGGTAGAACTTCTAATTCTTTCAGGATTACTTCACTATAATTGATTCAATAAATCTAGTGAAAAGTCTTACAGCCCTTTCTATTTTTGTATATTTACTGAATTCTTTTTTAATCCTATCCAAGCATGTTAACTGCCAGTATAGGTTCTGGATTATTCTAATATACTTCTCAAATGTGTCAAGGTTGCCTAGCAGTTCAGTACTTTATGATATACTTCATCAAATGTATTTGTATTGCTTTTTGTGATATCATTCTGAGCATAAAAGATCACACATTCCTTATTCCAGTATATCTTTAACAAACCTGCACTCTGGTTTTATTTCTTTTCTGATTCTGCTGTACACTCTATTCAAGTAACATAAGCCAAAGTTTGTAAAGAAATGTAGTTTTGAATCAATTGTTATTTTTTTTATAGAGGAAAATGAAATAAAGATTTTCTATTCAAATTAATATCCTCATTTTCTTGTTATTATCACAAATGTTTCAGTTTTTTTACCTTTTGGCTTTCTTCACTTGTTTGTATTTCAGATTAATTTTTAGTGAATTTTGAACTTAACTTTTTATTTAATCTTCAGGGATAGATTACTATTGTTCTGTTGCCCATGTCTAGTAATATCTCATCTTGTTCTTATTTAGTACTGCTCAGTTATTTCTTGACCTGTTTCTACTGAGTTCAAGGATCTGAGTTACCAGGATCAAGAGTCACCTGAAGAAGGTCAAAGGGAACAAAAGTTAAAATGCTGTGATGATAAGATGAGGATATTTGTCAAAATGTAAGATTTTAATATTATTTCAAAGCATAGAAAGATAAATTATATGATTAAAACTTAGTCAAAAGATGAAAGAAATTCTTAAGAATTTTTTAAAACAAATTTCATGCATCAAGTTAATTTTATAAGATTTTCTAAATTTGATTCACACATTATCTGCTTCCTTCTATCTTGAATTATTTTCTTTATCCTTTTGTCTTTATTTCCTTTTTGTTGCTTCAGTTGCAGATGTTCAACTTCATTACCATTTAGTTCATCTTTCATTATTTTTTTCTTTCTCTTATTATCATTTTTAGTTTATCTTTCTTTTGCTATTTCTTTCTTCCTTGCTTCCTTTTTTTTCACCTTCTATTTCACTGTCCTTTCATGTTTCTGCTCCATTCTATTCACACACTCAATATATGCCATTTTGGTTCCTACAGTATTTTCTTTCATTTTTTTCTTGTTTCTACCTTTTTTCTATATCTTCCAGTATCTACTCTCCTCCTTTTTATTTATTTCCATTTGTGTTTTTCCTACTCTCCAAGTCTTCACAGAGAAAAGAAAATCCTTGAATAATCAGCTCCTAATGATTAAATTGCAAACCAATTACAGTGTAAAACTTGAAGACTCAGTTAAATTTTCTGCTTACATTTTTTTAAATACTTTACAAACCATTGTTCTGGCCTTTACTGATTCCTCAAATGTGAATTGGAATTTGTTTTTCTTTTACTTTTGTCAAAGTGATGGGAAAATGGCAAATAATTTATTGTCCTGTAATGAAAGTTAACACAAGGAAATCTATCTTTTATATGTTATATGTGTTAAAAAATCATTTTCTCTATTTTCAGATATTATAGAAAAAAACAGTTGGTAAAAATAAAATGAAAAATTATACACAAAATGTAAACTATGTTTTGGTTAGACTTAGTTTTAATTTCAAAGTTGTCTTAGAAGCAGAATGTTTTGAACATCACTGAAATTTCGAGGGTTCAGATTGTGATTTGCATGTAATATTCATTAG